ATTTAAACTTTTTAAATTTTTTCCGATAAGATAATTAATAAATACATATACAGTGATTGAGTCAGAATTTGGACTCACGAGGGGCACAACTCTTGACTTGTATAAGCACTTATATATGCAAAGACTAAGAACAAACTCAGAGAGAGCATTTTTGTGATATTGCAAAACATATATATGGTATTTTGTGCTATTATAAAAAAGTATATATATAAAAAAAATTATAAAAAAAAAAAAAAGAAAAGAAAAAAAAAGTCACACGGTACGGTTCGATAAGGTTCCGATAGGAACCGGTCACAACGGTTCCTTAAAAATGAAACCAAAACTTGAACCGTGTGTATATGGAACCTAACCGAACTGTGAGGTTCCACGGTTTCCCACCTATGAACTTTTTTCCTTTTGTTCCCTTACTTATTTGAAGGCTTTGAGCCCAGGAGCCACATATGCTAAAATAATTAAACATAATACATTCATACAATAGCAAAAATAAAAATATAAATAAATACAGAAAATAAAACTTCAATAATATTGGAGAAGCCGTGTGACCGAGGAAGATGATGAAGCTGTGTCGCTGACTGAGATGGTGTGTGGGTGTATATCCAAGAAGTTGTGTGACTGTGTTGCTGACAAAGAAGTCTGAGATGCCAAGATGGTGTGTGGGTGACTGAGAAGCCATGTCGAGAGGACCGATGAGAGATGAGGATTGAAGATGAGAAGAGTAGAGGATTGATGACTGATGAGGACTGGGGACTTGAGGAAGGGAGGCGAGGGTGAGGCGTCTTCAAAGTTCTATGAGATGAGAGTTGAAATGAGAAGAGGAGGCGAGAGTTATGGTTATGTTTAAGTTTAGTTGTTAGATGAGAGAGAGTTGAGTTTTTAACATTTTGTGGTTTAGTGGTGGAACACGTGTTGGTGTAATGGTATGATTGACAATTACTCAATTAGTAAGTATGTTATTGATAATATATATACAGTTTCGGTTCTTACGGGTCTAGAACCGAAACCGAAACAGTAAGCCCACGATTCTTATTTTCAAAACCGGGACCAAAACCGTGAGAACCGGAACCAAAGCCATGGTTCGGTTCGGTTCAGTTCGGTTTCACGGTTCCATAGTTTTTTTGTGCACCCCTAGCATTAGCGACCTCCATCCCTGCACATATACAGGTATTGGAAAATGAAATTAATTGTGAGGAAATATTTCATTGCAATAGAATATTTACAATCAAAACTCACTTTCATAGGAAATGGATGGTTTGTCACTAAGTAAATAATTTTTTATTTTTTGATAATTAAAAATTTAAAAATTATAAAAAAATTGTGCTTAGTTCAAACTCGACAGAATTGTATTGAGTTTATTTATTTATTTATTTTTATTCGATAAGTAAGAATTTGTATTTAGTTTCATCGATTACGTTATGATAGTAATAAAAAATGGAAAAAGATAATTTTACATTGTGATGATCCTAATAAAAAATATTTTCATCTTTTCTTAAACCTTTCTTTTAGTTAAGGTTGTCCATCTGTCTTGTGTTACATACATGGTTATTACTACATCTGTATAGGTGCATTTCGTTCTTCTCCCCATCATCATCCATGTTCCAAAAAAGGGTTTTGATTCGACTCTAGGGACTTTGGCCCATGCAACTGTGGGCTTCATCGAGCAAATCAGTGAGGATTGCTAATAGGCTTTTCTTGGTCGCTTTTTCTTGTTCAGCCCTTTAACACTTGCCAGATTAACTCCAAAATTTGGCCCACTTTGAAATAAGCTTTGACTGCACATAAAATGAATAGGATTCAGTTTGGGCTTTTTTTATGGATTTGCTCAAGTTGAGTTTGTGCATATTTAGGCTTGAAGCCCATTTTCGTATCATGAAACCAGAAAGGTCCTCTGCTGGTATTATCTGGGATGAGGTTTTTTACCATCACAGTTTGTAGTTTAATGATATTTCTTGTACCTCCTAATTTGAGAGATTATTATTATTATTTTTTTGTTAGCTGCTAAATTGACAGATGAAGGTTTATGTTCTCGTAAGTACAAATGGATATTTATATAATTATATCCCCACTAAAAAATATGTACATTTTTTCAAAATATATACATTTCTCCAAGGGTAATTCATCTTCACTTAAATAAAATTTAATTAATACATTTTGTGAGTGGGCTAAAAGTGGTAATATTTGATGAGGATTACTGTTATAAGTGGTTGTCTGACATCGGATTGGTATCAGGGTCAGATTCAATCTTTGATTCAGTGTCACGTCAAACGCTCGGGTTGACGTCCGAGTGAGCCCACATCGAATTCGAATGAAAAATGAAATGAGTATAAATAATTAGATATGTAACATTATCTAATACTAACTTAAATTTTTAAATAAATAGATAAACATCCATTACAATTACCTTATAGTAAAATGACTCAAACTATTTAATTAAAAAATGATATCATCATAATGATTTTACAGACTAAGAATTGATTATTTAGTATCTTTCCATTTTTCTTTTTTGCTTATCAATTGGGGCAGAAGCGCCCTTTTGACTTGAGTAATAAAGCCACAGCTCTACTTGAAACTAGAAGGGGTGAAAGAGAAAGAAATTCTTAATAGATTTGACTTATAATATATATATTTTTAATTCGAAACAACTCAATAATTTTTGTTACGTGTGAAAAAATTAAAATAATTTTTATTACAGAGTATTATTTTTATTTATTTATTTGACTTATGGTCTAATGAAAATGAATCTGCTGTAACCAAGGGTGCGTTTAATAACTCTTTTGTTTTCTGTTTTTGCAGTCTTAAGAAAGCAGAAACATGATTTTGTTTTCTTGAGTGAAAATAAAAAACAGAAATGATGTTTATTAACACTTGTTGTTGCCACAAATTTGAAAATATAAAACAATAATTGTGTTTAATAATATAACATATTTGTTACAAAATATACATAATATTCTTAAAATTTTTTTTTTTTTTGTTTTTTTGTTTTTTTTTTTTCATGGCAAGAATTTTATGAGTTATTGATGAGAGGGGAGGGTATGGGGGAAGGTAGATGACTTGAACACGAACTCTCGGACATAGGGAACAACCCAACCACTCAAGCACGACACTTGCTTCCATTAATATCAAAAAGTCATAAATCTAGAAAATTTAATTTTAAATTATAAATCTTAAATATACCCAATACATTATAAGTACAAAAGTAGATATATCAAGACAAAAACATTCACACCAATTATGTATATAAATATATATATATATATATATATATATATATATATATATATGCATAATGCATACATTTATTATGTGATGCATAATATATTTAGCATATGAATAAAAAATATTAAATAATATATCTTATATGTAATAAAATATATATTGTGTGATAATATTGTAAATTAATTATAATGTAATATTTACTTATAATATAATATAGATATGATATATAATAATATTAAATATCTACTGCTTAGTAATTTAATAACATTATATTCTATATCAAAAATTATTTTGTCACAAAAAAATAATTTATATTATTATTTAATATATTATATATTAAAATATATTTTTATCAAATAAAAAATAACATACAATATTTAATTTATATTATAGTAAAAATATATATTTTTATTAACATTTAATATGCAACTTAGTATATAATACAAATAATATAAATTTTATTTGAAATGAATAGTGTGTAACATTAGTGAAAACGTTTCTATGCTACAATGCCAAAAACATAAGAAATATTATTTTGATGTTTTCTTTTTTCTTCACAAAAATTGAAAACGTTTTATGTTATAGAAAAATAAAAATATTTTATTAAACGCAATTTTTGTTTTCTTTTTACTTTTTTAGAGGTTAAAAAAAACCGTTTCCGTTACTAAACGCAACCCAAGATATATTTACCATGAATTTCTCCTTTTGTTAAAAAAAAAAACAAAAAACAAAAATACATAAAGACGGTTTTGCCCTGAGCAATTGCATTTTCTCTCACTTAAGAGTAAGTTGTGGACCTCGTGGTGCAAACTGAATGCCGAACAGGTACTATAAAGGGGTTAGGCTTTGTCTCTTGAAGCCGAACAAAAAGCCAGAGAAAGACAGGAGTTGGGATTGGGACGTTGCCCCATTTGTCAAACAGAAACAGAAAGGTGAGTGTTGTGTTTGAGAACTTATAATTCCCCTTTCTTCTTAGCATAGTGAAATTTAAGTCGATTCACGTATACATTTGTGTTCGTGTGTACATGGTTTAATGATTGTGTTGGTAACATCAACTATCAGTTCCTCTGAATGAGGAAGATGACACCGTGCACCTCTCCTTTCAAGCAACGCAAGGTGAGTTCTATTGCAAAAGCCCGTAGCAACTTAACTGTTCTCAGAAATTTTTATTGTTGTTATATTTCAATTTTCATTTGTAACTTTCAAGCTTTTAACTCCAATGGAATAAAAAACTCCTCCCACATGGGAAATTGAGATTTGAGTCCTAGCAATGGGCGTTTGTCTTACATACCAAAACAAAATTCATTGCTTACCTAACCAACCCAAAACTCTTATGATGTTCTTTTGGTTGTTGTAGTGTTGTGGTTATTAACTTTGACAAAGTAGTATTTTTTATTTTTATTTTTTTATGAATAGATAAATACTCATTGGAACTTTTGTTTGTTTTTTCCCAATCGTATTATTTTATTTTTGAAGATGATGGTTTCGTTTTCTTGTGTTTATGATTATTTGGATCTTGATCAGAGAAAAAAGCAACATATGAAGAAGGATGTAATTAGTGGATTGCCAGACGATATCCTCGTTGCCATCCTGTCTCTTTTGAGGCTTAAGGATGCAGATATCTATGGAGATATATAACTGGTAGTTTGAGCTTTCGTTCAATGATATTACCAAAAGATCCTGCAGATTATAGGACTTTATCATCTATTTTTGAAGAAAAGCGTACGTACTAAGTAAGTTGGGTGAATGAAGTCTTGAAATTGCATCTTGGTACCTGTATAGACGAAATGAGGATTTCTTTTGATTTCCTTCATAACTACCCTCCCGATATCAATGATTGGATTAAGTTTGCAATGGAAAAAGGTGTTCAAAGGTTTGAATTGGACGTGTTGGCTGGCTTTTTGCCCGATCGCCAGCTTCAATTTTACAATTTTCCAAGCATGGAAAACTTCAAATTCTCTTTTAGAACTTCACAAAGTCATCATGAGTCACGGACTATTGGTTCTGCAGCTGGCTTTTCTTCCCTAAAATCCCTTCGTTTGGTTGGTGTTAATATCATGGTGGAGGTGCTTGAGAATTTCCTATCCGACTGTGCGTTTCTTGAACAATTATGCATCTTGGGTACAACATGTCTAGTGAATGTAAAAATTGCTTGCCCATCACTCAAATTGACTCACTGCCACTATTTGGAAAATCTAGAAATTTTTGCAATAAATCTTGTTTCATTCACCTACATGGGACGAGATATAAGTGTGCCTTTTGAAAACGTCTCTCTTCTCTCTAAGCTATCTATTGGGGGACAATTCTGTTCGTCCTTTCTTTCTGGATCTTGCCAGCATTCCAGCTATATTCCTCAAATTAAAAAGCTCAAAATAAATTTGTCTTATTTGCTTAGAATGCGCAATAATTTTATAACGGTATGTTTTTATTTTATTTATTTATTATTTATTTTATATATAATAAATTAATTAATTAAATAGAATGCACAATAATTTTATAACGATATGTTTTTATTTTGTAGTTTAAGGTGTGTTTGCTGATGAAAGTTCTATTTATTTGTTTCTTTTTATGTATCATGTGTATGAATTTAAATAGACTTTAAATGTAAAGGATAAGAAGAAGAGAGGGAGAGATGAAAGCAAAGAGAACGTGATACTATATTTGTTGAAGAGGTTGAGGAGGTGAAAGGGACCATCACCCTGCCACCCTCGCCTCTTTAAGTAAGATCACATCTACTACTTTAAAGAAGAAACAAATTGAACTTGATTTCTTACTAAATTTATTTTATTTTATTATTTTTTTTTTTGATCCAAATGAAATTTAAAGAGCAAGATTTTTATATATTTTTTTGTGGTAAAGAATTTAAAGAACAAGTTAAAGATGAAGAAGATAACAATTAAAAGTAATGCATTCCAAAAAAATGCCATTCCAAATACATCCTTAATTTTGAAAACTTTGTGGTTTTGTGCTTATACAATTAATTTGAAAGGCAAATTGAATACAAATCTAACATTTCCAAGTAAGAAGCATGGACACAGGACATAGGTACGAACACAATACAACATGAATACAACGACATGCCAAATTCTAAAAAGTAGGACACTGAAATGGTGTGAACACGGCTAATATAAATATAAATTTTGATTTATATATCTATTGAGTGAGACAATCATAGAACTCTAGTTAATTTAAAAAATTCTATACTAGAGTTACATAAGTGAGAAGACAAGTCAGTTCGAATATAAAAAGAATATGTTATATTATGTATGATATTACTACCCGATCTTGTCATTATAGCATGTTTTGTTCCTTTATAGGTTGGACACTAAGATATATATTCATAATGTTATTTCCAGGAGTGTCGCGTGTTTGTTTATACAAGCAAACAGCACGTGCATTTGCACATGATTCAAGATCTTTGAAAACTTGTAAACAAATTTAGTTAGGCCTATTTGGCAACAGCTTATGCTTCATGTTTTTTTCTTTGGATAATGTACTATAGCGAAGCAAAACAAGAAAACGCGTTTGGTAATATTTGTTGTGATTTGAATAGTACCGAAACGTTTTCGAAAAAGAGGTGAAAACCGGAAGCACCAAGATGGTGGTTCCGGTTGCTTCCGCATACCCAAATAAATAAAAAAGGTCTTAAATGTCCTTTTTAACTAACCATTTTATTTTTCAAACTTAACAACACTTTTTTACTAAACATATTTTCATGTTTTTTGCTTCCAAAAATCTTGTAACAAATATAACGTTATCAAATGGTTCCAAATAATATTGAGCATACACCAAAGCAGAAACGTTACTTCTGTTTCGAGTTAAAACATAAGCATGAAGCAAAAGTGGTTGCCAAATAGGCCCTTAACCAGAGGTTAATGCAATGGTTGAGTAAAGTAAAGTTATAAATTTAAAAAAGTAAGTTTTTTGAAATCCATATTGTTGATCACCCAATCTTAAAAATCATAAAAGAAAAACTTATAACACATTTCAAAACAGAGAAAAGAAGCACAAATAAACATGGAACCTATAAATTTTAGGATATACCTACATAAAGTACAATAACATGAAAAAAATGGCACATACAACGTACTAAAGTACAAATATCTAATGCCGTAACATGATTATTCACTTCAAAACTTAACAAAGAGGTATATAGACTAACCAAACCAAAAGAATGAGCTTCTCAAAATTTGAGAATTTCAAATACCCTGTTTTGTTCTCTTTTACCCGCATACAAGCAAAACAGAGGTTTCAGTGTCTTTATCACAAATCACAATTGTATTAAGGAGAAGAACCAAATAAAAAAATAAAAAGTACATACATTTAATGTAAATCTTTTAATGAAAATGATTTTGTATACACGTGTTTAAAGAGAGAGAAAGAAAAACAGTGTAAAAGGAAAGAGATTGAAATTAGTGATTTGAAATCAGGGTTGCCCACTCTGGAATGGTAAAAGTTTGGATTAGGGTTGTCTTGTGATACCCCTCGATTCTAGAGTCACACGTGATCAAGTCCGAGCACAGAATACAAGGTATATCAAACAATTAATATTTAAATAAGCATTTGAATACAAAAAGAATAATAAATAAATAATAAGCTGAAGAAAACTAAATAATAAATCCCTATTTCAAAAATCCTCAAATAAATAATAATTAAAAATTCCATAATAGAATCCTTCAATCCTCTGATACCAATAGTTAATTAAACTACAACTCGGGAATCCATAATGTGGACCCCTAATAATATCCTAACTGACATAACTGAACTGAAATAAAAACTAATAATTAAACCATGTAGAAGAGTCCTACGTAAAGCCGAAGAGTGAATGACTGTCTCTGCTCGGCACGAACAATCTCTAAGACTGAAACTGACGAACACCTGAAAAATAATGGTGGGTCAGGCCCACATACAAGTTCTAATCTACTACATCCCAAACAGAGACCCGATACACATACACATCTTAATTAATTCAACAATAACTAAATAATCCATATATAGATATATACACACTAAAGGAACCTCACTAGACTATAGAGTTGTCTCACCCTGAATAGTAGGCAACATGCAAAAACGCACATATAGTGGACATGAATACCTAAACCTACCAGGGTACACAACTACACTATATCTAACTACACATCCCTGGCAATATACGCACCCTAACCACTGATCCTGAAACTCAAGCTCATATCATGGCGTATAATTATATATTTAAAATCCGTTCTATCCAACCATCAAAATAAACTATCTAATTATTATCTTAATAAAATGTCATCCAACTATTCCGTTGACCTGACACGAATAAGTAGGACTTAACACTATGGTTAATCTGTTCCCTTATTAAAAATAGGTAGGACTTAACTCTTAAGTTAATCCGTCCCTAATATGCCCCCATCCCATAATGGTGCATTAATCCATAACATAACCAAATAAAAGTTTCCAATCCAAGGATAATGTAAATAATATTTACATCTAATAATCCAAATAAATATGATATAAATCATATACACGTTATTTGCATTTATTTGAGTAAAAATATCAATTCTAATTAGCATGCATTTAATTTACATCACAAGAAAATAACATGCATCTCAACTAAATTGTACATCCCCATGTACTCATTAAATTAATTTAAATCTAAACAATTGATTAAAATAATTTAATCCAACAACATATAATTAATTTATACTTTTACAATTAAATTTTATATTTAACATGTAAACTTAAATCATGTATTTCAATTCTTAATGAATCTATTAAATAACTATTTAATACTAATCCATAATTCAAACACAATGGCGTCAGTTTAATATCCAACATTAATTAGTTTAACTTTTAAAATATTTAGTGCATAACTAACTTTTGTTACATATCAGATTCCTTTCTAACAATTTCTAACAATATAAAATTGCTCTAAGTTGACCTTTACTTCCTCATGCCGCGTGTAAGTCTTGGAAAGAAAGTGAAACTTAAATTGCAAATTTCGTGAAACAAGCTGAAACCTTCCTAAAGCTATTCTTTCTCGTTCGGCGTGCAGGACAAAAACACAAATTCTCATTATCAATTATATCACAATCTGATTTTTTTTTATGAAATCCGTTATCAATGGTTTCCTCGCTCGGCGTGCATGAAAACAAAATTAATTCATACATACACAAAAATGATTTCATACAAATACACAAAACTAATTAATTTAGAGCATTTCTCGTTCGGCGCGAACACTATATATAAATCAACTTTGATTTAATCTTAATTTATATACAAACTACTTCGCACTAAATTAATAATATATTACAACACATGAAAATTTAGCACAAATCCATTATTAATTTCTAAATAAATCCTTGTAATTAAATTCAACTAATTTATTTAGCATACCTAGAATTAATCTAGCATGCATAGGGTATGAATCAAAGGAGAAGAGAAGAATTAAAACTTGCCTTTAGTGATTTAATAAAAACCCTAACCTTCTTCTTCCTTTTTCTCTTCCTTCCTCTTCCTTCTTTCTCTCTCTAAAATATAGTACGTGATATATTTTCTAACCTCTTTCACAACTCTATAGTTATATATATTTATAGGCAACTAAAATAACCCTAATCCTTTTTCCATTCCAAGACAAATAAAAAAAAAATAAAATAAAATTTAAATACTAAAAAGGTAACTTAAATATATGTTACGTATAATCTATGTGTACTCCTTTTTATATATAATATATAAATATATATCAGATTATTATTTAAGGACTTTCCTTATATATATATATATATATATATATATATATATATATATATTTATTTATTAAATATACATATACATGGGTAATTATCCGTACCCAATAAACCCCTTATCCAAGTAGTCCATGGAGCCCAATTGATTGGTTATTTACTACTATCCACATCCAATTCCTTAAAAATATAAAAATAAAAATAAAACAATTAAATTTCTAAATAAATACACATCATCACAAACAATTCAATTTAAACAAATAATTAAATCAATTAAACAAGTAAACAATTAGCCAAGAAAACAACTAAATAATTAAATGCAATTAAAACTATTAAAATAATACCGAGACTATCCTTTTTAAATTAGGGATATTACATTCTTCCCCCCTAATAAAAAGAATTTCGTCCTCGAAATTCGCCCTTACCATCTTCCATTATATCTGGAAACTGTGAGTGAATGACATCCTCTTGTTCCTAAGTAGACTCAGCCTCATTATGGTGATTTCACTAGACACGTACTAACGATATGACTTTATTGTGAAGAACATGATCCTTGCGGTCAATAATTCGACACGTTGGCTCCACATATGTTGCATCCTGTTGCAACTCAATCTCACCCACATCTATGTGCTGATACCTATCCTCATCGCGTAAAAATTTCTGCAACATGGAAACATGAAACACGTTGTGGACTCGATCCAAATGATCTGGAAGTGCTACCCGATAAGCTACAGCTCCAACGCGATCGATAATCATGAATGGACCCACAAACCGTGGTGATAACTTCCCTTTCTTCCCAAAG